GGGGAGGAGGGGTGGGGGGAGGTGGTTCTCGGAGTAGAGGGGGAGCCAGGTGCTCTTACGAGCAGCGGGAGCACACCTTTGGATACACGCAGGCCAGGCAGCACATCATAGAGTCTGACACAATCTGAATGGCCATAGTACACAGAGCCTGGGGCAAACTAAGGGACACACTAGAAGTCTAGTACAGACCTTGGATCAAGCAAGGGTAGCAGAACTGGTGACTCTTTTTTTTAGCAGCTCTGGCTAGGACCTTTTCTAGTGAGATCTGAACCCTTAGGCTAATCACGGTCAGATACATCCACTGGCAGGTGAAGGTGGAATTCCTTTTTTTTCCTTTTGAAAAAAAAGAAGAAGTCCAGCCTGAGGTCGTTGTAGAGGCAGGCCATCAGGCATATGACAGTCTCTTCAGTAGTTGGCCATTCGATCATCCTGATGATTTTTTTATACAGGGCCCCTTAGCTATGAGCCCCGGGATGAGTTAACAAGGAGCACAGCCTCAGGAACCCACAGTCACCAATCTAGGTGCTACATGATGTATCAATGGGACGCTGGACCCGGTTTCCAGCAGGTGCCGCTCCCCACCAATAGATGGAGCAGCCCGACAGATAAGCCCTCAATCTTGGCGGTTCCTTTACCACCGCCAGGGTAGAGGGATATCACATGGGCTTTCCAAAAAAAACAAAACAAAACAAAACAAAGCTATGAGACTCCCTCCCACCCTTACTCATCCTCTTTCTTTTTTTTTTTTCTTTTTTTTTCTTTTTCTTTTTAATATAAAACTTAATAAAAGCCCTTACTGGCCCCCCCCAGGCTGTTGTAGAGGCAGGCCACCACGCATATAACGACAGTCCCTTCAGTAGTTGGCCATTTGATCATCCACTGCAGATGATTTTTTATACAGGGCCCCTATGAGACTTCCTCCCACCCTGACTCATCATTAGTGGCCCCGGTGCATCCCTACTCCCAAGGTCCTACCTCAGTGTTTTTTTCTAGTGACCTGACCGGACAGTGGTTATAGGCATCAGGGCTAAGCAGGTCCTCACCTCCCTCCCCAGCCCTGATTGAAGCATTGTCGTATGGGTACTTTGAGCGCTAGGCATAGACATTCTACTACAAGTCCCATAGGTGAACCTTTTTCTCCTGTTAGAGAGATCCTAGCCTTGTCATCATCAGATCCCTCTGGGTTATCTTTTCGCATGGCCCCTGTGCGGGGATGACATGCATAAATCAAGACCCCTCTGGTTATCTCTAATACAATAAAGGAAGAAGCGGGTCTAGCGTGACGGACCCAACAGAAACCGGGCGCCGGCACGCGGGACTGCTCCGGCACTTAAGGTTTTCCCAACCGGTGCGACGCTGCGGAGTTCCACACGCGCCGTCAGGAAGGGGCAGCGGGAGGCGCGAACCGGTATACGCCGCAGGGGACCGAGGAAAATCGTGGCGGCACTGGGAGGCGCGAACCGGAGGCCCGCCGGTTGGAAAGAGTGGCGCCGCAGGGCCGTCGGGAGGTGTTCGGAGGTGCGGCAGGCCGGTCGGGTGGAGCGAGGGCGGACAGGGCCGGCCTCCGGTGGGAAAGAGTGGCGCCGCAGGGCCGTCGGGAGGCGTT